TCACCCTCTAGCAATGGGATGCTTTTATGTAGAATTTCAAGAAGAGAAGAGACATTATAGGCATCTAGGCAGGATAAAAACCAATTTAAAAAGTGGTGTCTCTCTACCTACCTACCTATCTGTACACACATATATGAGTATACAGTTCTCATACTATCTTTTGATTCTATTTTTACATGAACTTTTTTTTTTTTTGACCAGTAAGGGCATCGCAACCCTCGGCACGGTGTGGTCTGCACCACGCTCAGCCAGTGAGTGCACCGGCCATTCCTATATAGGATCCGAACCTGCGGCCTCGGTGCTACCAGCACCGCACTCTCCCGAGTGAGCCACGGGGCCGGCCCTACATGACCTTTTTGAAGTACCCTCACCTATGAAGAAAGTTAACTTTCTTCATAATTTATCACAATATTGAAGGCACGAGAGCAATAAATCAATAACTACAATATTTTAAAGAGGTAAGATTATCTCATCTACTCTATATCTAGCCAAGATGTTAACACATACACAGGCAACAAAAAATACTGTCAAACATTCAAAGGCTCAGGAATTGAATCACCACATACAATCCTGACAAAATATTGTCATTTCCCAACAAGCTAGTTAATATATTTCTTTTAAAAGATAGTTTAGCAAAGTAGTGACATATAAATTAGCATAAATAATAAATGCACCATTTTCATATGCACAAACAGTAACCAGTTAGTATAAACAACAGAAGAGAAGACGCCCATATACTAGTATGTGGAAGGTTGTGGTTAGGGCAGACATTATGGAAAATAGTCTAGAAAAAATATAGAAAAAAAAATAGAAAAAATATACTAAATACTAGTAACATACAATAAAATAGCTAGGAATAGCATAGTAAGAAATGTGCAAACGTATATGAGGAAAACTTTAAAGCACTTCTAAAAGACCACAAATCACATTTGAACAGATAGAAGGACAGAGCATGTTCTTGGACAGAAGACAACTCCATAACTGAACTGGGGATGCAGGAAGGAGCAGGTTTGGGAGGTGGAAAAATCTGGATTCCATTTTGGTTGAGTTGAGTGTGAGCCGTCAGGGGAGAGGCCAACTAGGAATTGGGTAGATGAGTATGGAATACCATGGAGTCGTCAGCACAGAAGCTGCGGATTTGGGAGTGGTTGGCATATGTCACTTAGCAACAGTGTAGAGATGGAAAAGAAGAAAGGCCCCTAGGACAGAAACATGGGCATTCCAACATTTATAGACTAACAGGAGAGTGAAGACTGAGGCGCCATTACACAGGACCTAGACCAAACCAAATGGCCAATGAAAAAGAAAAAAAAACAAGAGTGTGACATCCTGGAAGCCAAAGACAGTCCGTTGTTCAAGGGGGAAATGCTCACTCTGTATTCCCATAGTAAGAATTCACAAAATATTTGTTGATTGAATGAGCATTTAAATAAATCAATGAAAAAATGGATTTTTCCTAGAAAAATATGTATTATGAAAGTGACTCAAGAAGTAGAAGAAAACAAATATTTTAGATGACATGTGTCCATGTGTATCATATGTAAATGTACCTGGATGCATGTAAACATAACTAAAAATAAACCTACATTCTAACTAAAAGTTTGAATCCAGCTTCATTTGAAAAGAATAATCCAATATTACTAAATGTCTAATAGTACCAAAGTCTCTAGTAAAATATTCAGCCAAACGTGCACTGAATTGCTGAAATAGAAATGAAAAGGTATCCCGTGCTTATTAATAGAATATTAAACACTAAATTGTACAAATACACATATTCTCGGATAAGACCCTGAAGATCATGCAACCCTCTTCTCCAGACTCCAAATGGGTCATCAGAACCTACTGTCATACCCAGAATTAGTCTCTTCCAACTTGCCACAAACCGTCTTTCAACAAATTACTGACATTTAAAACTTCAAATGGGTCTTGCCAGTTAGCTCAGTTGGTTGGAGCACGGTGTTGCAACACCAAGGTCAAGGGTTCAGATCCCCATACTGGCCAGCCACAAAAATAAACAAACAAACAAACAAATAAATAAATAATAAAACTTCAAATGATCCGTAGAGTTCTTCAACAACTTACCTACCAGATAGAACACAAGATAGAAGCTAGGCATGGAATGGATTTCTCTTATTTCAAAGCATCTTCAAGGAGATGAGAGGGTTAAAATTAGATCTAGCAATATAATAACTATTTAGTCTTTCTTCACGAGCAGTTCCAAAATAGTAAGATTGATTTCACATACGCGGCCATCAAAGTACCTTTCGTTATGTCAGGTACATTATTAACCATATTTAACTGGCATCAGAATGGCTACCAGATTGTTTCATTTTCTGCGTGCACAGTCTGTTACATTTCAGGACAATCATCCGTTCTTCCTACTTTCCTTAAAACCTCATACAGAGACTTGCACTCTATAGAGGGTGAATTAGTTCATTCAAAGAAATAAACCAATAAATTGAAAACTAATTTTTCAGTCTGTCATAAACATGACTAAAGAACATGTGTGTTCCTTCCTGGACATGAATGGCTTATCTCTTCCTGCACCTTCCAATGAATCTCCACAACTTCCTTAAAGTGTTGAACAGCCCAAAACATCAGTTTTTCATACACATGATAGCTAGAATGAGATTCTACATATAAATTACAAATAATGATTTTCTTCCTAGCTTATTATATCTATAAATACTTTTGCTGCTTCTCAGACTATTACTGAAGTATACCTTCCGTCTTTAACTTACAAAAAAAAAAAATACCTTTTGAATCCATTTCACCTTCGATCTATACTATGCTTTACAAATTAGTAGTTCCTTGGTTATCTGTGACTGTGCCAATGTGCTTTTTAGCCCTCGAATCACCTGTCTGGTACAACAGTTTATAAAAACCAGGAATGCCACTAAGGTCAGGCTGAAATGTGAACTCTAAGACTCCAACTTCTTTCCTAATATTTATCTCCTCTTTCCACTAAGTAATAACATGATGATGGCAATATCTGCTTCATCTTTAGTTAAGTGTTTTAATTTCATTTATCATGCTAGGGTAAGTATTTTAAAGGCTTATGTGCCAAATGAGTAGGAGGTGCAGAATTTGAGCTGCATTTTCTGATGGTACATCTTTACAAAAGTCAGTTCAAAATGAGGAAAAAATAAAAACCTTGCATCTGCACGTACTGTTAATTCCAAACCATACTAACATGGAAATCACCAGAGGCAGGAGAAAAGCCATGCCAGATTCCTCTCTAATTGGTGGGACGGTGTGTTGCACCAGTTAGCATATCAGTACCAACCTCTATCATGTCATAAGCAATGACTGCAATCCCAGTTGTTCACAGGCTATTTCTTTTTGTTTTCTCAGCATCTTCTCTAAACAATATGCTAGTACATCTTATTTTTGTTTCATTGATATAAATTTTTTGCCGCATGTGAAGGCTCTTACATGATATTTTTTAAAAATCATTAAATGCCTCACCTATGCAGAAACTTGTTCGAGGCAATGCAAAGTGTGACCTGGCAGAAATTGTTCCCTAACTCTGGAAATTAGTTTTCTGCTGCAGAATAGATACAATGTCCATGACAGTGAACAGGTTCATGATTTAAATAAGTGTTAAAACATATATAAACACACATGTATATGATACAAAAACGAGAATTACAAAAACATTATTTTCAACCTCATTCGTAAATGGAGTTAAGGGAATTTTATAAATTAATGAGATTTACTTTTATGTATCTCATAA